CCGGATGTTTCAATACATAGCTGTCCAGAACTTTATAAAACTCAAAATTGCGGCTATTATTAAAGCTTTCGGATTTGGAGCCAACAAATTCATTGACCGCCGCGCATAGTGATCCGAACCTCTCGTTCGCCTCGTCTTCTACACGACACCGTTTATTTTTTTTTTGCGCTGTTGGACTGCTCCGTGTCGTTTGTCGCAACAGAAGGAAGAGGAGGGCTTACTTCATACTCCTCATAATAAGAGGTTTCGGTCACGTTGCACGGGCTGATGCCGTTTATTTCCTCCTCCTGTGAAGTAAAATCCAGATTGGAAAATGTTCTGAAAATAAATAGACAAACATAGATTAAAACTTATGTATATATACACATAAGAACATATCGAGTGCTGAGTGGAAGATCGACCTATCTCGGAAGCCAGTTCGAAAACGCCCTATCTCAAAAAACTTTTCAAGAACGCCCTATTTCAGAATTTGTTTCAAAAACGCCCTATCTCAGCTGCCGATTCAAAATCGCCCTATGTCAGCACATTTTCAATACATTTTGAAGAAAGATAGGGCGTTTTTGAACCGAATTCTGAGATAGCGTGTTTTTCAATAAAACTCTGAAATAGGGCGTTCTTGAAAAGTATTTTGAGATAGGGCGTTTTCGAACTGGCTGTCGCGATAGGTCGATCTTCCACTCAGCAGTCGATATAGGAATTTTCAATTAAAATAGAGTTCTATTTCTAACAAAACCCATATAAACCCATGTTTAAAACTTTGTAGAAAACCATGATCCAAAAATAAATAAATAAAATATTTAAATAAATAAATAATAATAATACTAACAAAATTTAAATATATGTATCATGGTAGAAAACGACAAAAAATGCAACGAATTTTCACGCAAATTTCAAACTTCTTTCTCAGAATTGTTAGAATTTGTTTGAGTACACAGTTTGATAGCCCTTTAAATTATAGTGCGATAATAATAAGCATGAGTGGCAAACAAATATCACTTTGAAATTGGGATGCTATTGGTATGACCGACATTTTATTTTTTAGTTAACTTACTTTCGAGGAGCAACGAAGTCTCGCATAAAATCCATGGCTTCCAAATATTGCCATGTGGCTCCATCTTCTGCACCAGATCCCGACTTCTTCTTCTGTAAGCCTGTCTCCCGGACGAAACGGTCCCTGAGAGACTTTCACCTAGTTTGGCAGTTAGTCACTATTGGAAGAATTAAATAAATTTTTTTATATATTTATATACATATACATATATACAATTACATACCAGGTACTCCCACAGCGCATGCAACGTCATCCCAAGCCTTTTCTTTTAATAATTTATTGCGGAAAAGGTGGGAGCTTTTATCGTAAAGGCAGCTGTGTCCTGACCGCCTCTATTAACTTCTCCTCCATATTTTCTGTAAATATATAAATATATTGTAAATATTGAACTTAAATACCAACGTGGGTAAAAGTGCACTTAAGCGGAACCTGCCCAAAATTCATCCAAAAAAAGTCAAGAGGGGTATCAAACGACGCCAATAATGTTCCAGGTACTTCACGATTTGCAGGAATTTATAGGAAGCTGTTCCCGGACGACACCTGCGTCCAACTCCTTTTTTTGGTGGCGGACTTCGGCCGCGCTTAGGGACTATAACCCTTACTAAGTAGAATTCTCTTCTCTGTGTTGCCGGAGAAGAGGGGCGGATGGATCTCTGCATAGGCGGCCTTTGCCTGAAATTCATCAAAAGAAGGTACACAAAGTGGAAGTGTTTTTATTTCCGCTTTCGAATTATTGTTATTAGTTGCGTTCCAGATTTGCAGGAAAAGCTGTTTTCTCCATTAATAAACCTTATGACAGGTGGTCACCTGGAACAGCTTCCTGTAAAAATCTGCAAATCGTGAAGCATCTGGAACGCAACTATTGGCGCCGATGATGATCATCTTTTAGATGAATTTTTTGGGCAGCTCCTGCCCAAGTGCACTACTACTCCAACGTGGATTGCATTTTAGAATTTTTACTTACCTTATTTTAAATTTAATCCGCAATGTTTTTTTGGGGTATATCTTTAATTCTAATTGATTTCAAAAATCAACGGTAATTTTTTGCGACTTGAAACTTGCACTTTATTATACTAAAATTGAATGGGCGACAAAACTTTGTATAAGCTTTGAAACTTTTATTTATGTGGTATCTGATATAGATCGACCCTTATTTTAAATGAAAATTATTAACAAAAAATAAATAAAGACAAGTTGCCAAAAGCGTCATTTTGAATTTTGCTACTATTATTTTGAACCCACCATATATACAAACAGCCAGCATCAAAAATACGTTTCTTTATATATATTTTCCATACCAAACAGCAAAAACGAGCAGAATAAATTTTATCAATTTCATATAGAACTCGGGAAAATTCTAGACATACCAAAAAATAAGAAAATCGTCAAAACGTCAGGGTATTCATATTTTTGACGCTGACTATATGTTTCTTCTATGAATGTGTATATGTTTCTTCTATGTAGTATTCACTTTCGATTAGATTGCGAGGGTATTATCGGCACCTTGGCAATCGAACTCAGCGAATTATAGGTTTCATAATTAAATTATAATTTTCTTTAATTAGCTTTTATCGGCGTTGAAGCAAGTGCGGTTTGCGTAATTGTTTTCACACCTGCTACATATTCTTCAATGTTAATATTCTCATCCAAACGTTCATAGCTGAGACGTAGCGTTTGTGTGTAAAGTACTTTAAGCTGCAGAGACTGACAAAAGTGATGCAAACAGTTATATACCTCGCTTAGTGCCTTTGAATTTTCGACTAAGCGTGCCTGTATGAGCTGGTGAATATAGTTAACTTGAAGTTGACGCACCAATGCCTTGCCATCTAAAAAACATTCGTGAAAAGAGCAAAATAAAATAATATGGGGTATTCACAGCGGTCAGTGATGTATTATAATGAGTCCACAGAAGACATATGTACTTACCGCCAGTTTCATGTGACATACGCGCCAACCTATCCGCAGTTTCTAAGGATAGCATATTTTGATTGTCCAGGAAGCTCATGATATTCTATAGAAGAGTACAATTAATTATTGAGTTTTAGCGTCGTAGAAAAAGTGCGCAAAATAATTGTAAAAGGAAGCAATATACAGCTTAATATTTACCTATTTTTACATACCGCAATGACTAATACTTCTATTGTATGCAACTACATGTTATGTGACTGACTTCATTGAATAGGTGTGTATTTAATTAATAGTATGCGCGGCTACATAATCTTTCAATTGATCTCTCAACATGAAAACACTTCTTGTAGCGTTGTTTGACATTAATCGATCAGTTCCTCGTAGGGGTGTTGAGATTTCTTGGCGCCTTAATCCATTTAATACATTGTCTCCTTCGTATCGATCAACATATTCAGGTGGGCAATAACTGCCATCGTTTAGCTTTAAAAAATTATGTAGCAGCACTGTTGCTTTCACGATGCTTTCCGCGCTTGATGGTTGCATTTGCAATGGGGATAGCAAAATCCTCCATCGTGCTGTCATAATTCCGAAGGCGTTTTCAATAACACGCCGAGCTCTTGAAAGGCGCTTATTAAAATTTTCACGATCGGGTGGCAGATGCAATCCTGAAATTAAAAAAGGCTTATTTGTATGTACATACATATGCACATAGTATAGATGCAAATAATGGTTGAGTTGCAAGTTGTATCAATGCAAAGCATCAGACTCTTTTATTTCCCAACTATAAATCCAACTTTCAACATAACCATTTTCTATGCAATACATTTTCCGTATACTAACCAGGATATGGCCGCATTAAATTTTTTTAAAGGCAATGCTGCATCTCCAACGAAATAATGAGGAAACTTAATATTGCTGTCTGGTAAAAAGTCATCCTCAGGCAGGTCTAGTTGATCATGGAACAGCCTTTGACCAAATCCAGAATTCCAAAGCACACCGCCGTCGCTTTGCGAACCGTACGCACCAATATCGATAAAAGTAAATGTGTAATTCGCATCGCAACATGCTAATAATACGATGGAGTAGGTACCCTTGTAATTGTAAAATAGAGATCCGGAGTTGGAAGGACATTTTAAAGTGATGTGCTTTCCGTCGATTGCGCCCACACAGTTCGCGAAATTCCAAATAGTGTTGAAGTCATGGGATATACGTTTCCACTCGTGCCTTTTTGGCACAGACAAATATACACTGCCAAGTTCACTCCAAAGCGCTTCGCAGGTTTCCAAAATTATTTTGTTGACTGTGGAGCGACCCATTTTATACGCTGTAGCGTACAAATGCTGAGTTCCCCCGTGTGCTAGGAAACTATGAATGTAATGCACACAAATTAGTATGAAATTTTCTTTAGAAACATTTACTTACTTCAATGTTAAGAATAGTCTCATTTCTGCAGAAATTGACGGCCTGTTGGAATACTTTATGAGGCGTTCCTTCACGAGCCCAAAGAGCAAATCAAACACCTCCTTAGTCATCCTCACCGTAGTTTTGAACTGCTCCGGGTCATTTTTGTACATTTCGTCAAAACTGGTTACAAATAGTCCATCAATGTCGCGACTTAAGTAAAGAGGTCTTACCCACTCCCGCCGCCGAGAATTAATTTTCTTCAAACACTCGCGAGCCTCGTACATAAGTAGCACTATTAATATTATTTCGATAAAAGATGACAATATTTTTTTAATAACGCTCGAGGATACACAAATATTTTCATTGGCAAAAACAAAACAAATGTCTATTTGATGATTTAAATTATTGGGCCGCCTTCCTATGAAGCTATACCGCCGTAAATAATTCGGCCTTGTTGTATTTGTTTGCGTTTTATTAACTAAATTATAAACTTTTTCTTATTTCCCGGTTGTTTACTCTACCACGTGGCTTGAACAAATGTCATCGCCGGCGCTGTCAAAATGTTCATTGTAGCAAGAACACACGCCACTCGCGCTGCTGTCAAACCAATGCAACGCCAAAGTTCTATGTGGACGGGCCTTTAAAAACGTCTTCTAAATTGTCAGCGCGACTCGTTTTCCTGCTATAGATCTCTCTAAAGTCTTTAAAGTCCTTGTTTGAGCTAAATCCGCTTCTCACTAAAGATTTCAAAGTCCTTGTTAGAACTAAATCCGCTTTTTATTTATTGAGCAACCTCAAAATAATGAATAGTTTAAGTTCGAAATAAAACAGAATCAAACTTAACCAAAAGAATATGTTTTTGTGTTTAATTAAAATCAAAGTGAAATTTTTAAATCAATTTGTTTAAAAATGCGCAAAGTGCTTTTGGTTTTGAACTCGGATTCTTAATAATGAAGGAACATACTTTATTGCAGTACTGTCAAATTTAAAAGCGCTTTGCGCATTTAAAAAAAAAAGTAATTTTGAAAATTACACTTGCAAAAAAAAGAGGTTAGTTTAGTTTTTTTTAAACATAACTTTTTTAAAGCACATAATTTCAAACAAAATACACCAAAAGAATAAATAAACTTCATTTTAAGTAATAGCAAAAAAATAACGAAATATAATACCGCTTTCTTACAGTAATAATTTGAATTGCACATTTGAATTTCTCAGTTAAAAAAAAAAGAAGTTTTTTGTTCAAATTCGTCAAGTTTGGACATGCATATCTCCCAGCTTAAAAACGATAGAAAGCTGAAAACTTACCGCGGAATGTAGAATTTAATGGAGAATAAACTTTATTTTTCCAAAACACCATTTTTTTTTAATTGAATTTTGAGCACGCTTGACCCCAGTGTGCGTCTGTATACATATTTATAAAGTGCAGTGCTAGAAGGAATAAGAATACATACAGACATGTATACAAGCGGACAACAATACCCATCAAAAATGATAAAATCTTCTTCTTCTTATTTTATTATTTTATTTTGGCCGAGTTCAACAATGCACGCCGTTTCTTTTCTGTGCCCACTGACGCCAATTGGAAATGCCAAGTGAAGCCAAGTCCTTCTCCACCTGGTCTTTCCATCGCAGTGGGGGCTTCCCTCTTCCTCTGCTACCACCAGCGGGCTCCGAGTTGAATACTTTCAGAGCGGAGCGACGGTGTCCATTCGAACGACATGGCCAAGCCAGCGGAGCTGCTGTATTTTAATTCGCTGCACTATGTCCAAGTCGTTGCGCATAGGAGTATTTCAGTCCAAAAACCGGTCAAAATTATTTAGTGCTTTTTTCAAATACATTTATTAATAAAACACGTTAATGAATCTTAATTGCAATATATTTCACAATAATAAAACAAAATTTGCTATACAATCTTCTTGAATTTTCCATAAATTGAAAATTTGTAAATTTTTATTTATACTGCTTCTGATTCGCCCCTTCACAACCCCATTTTGAAATTAAAATGTTGCTTTTGTAATTCAGGTAATCCACCGATAACTCCCTCTAAATACTTGCAAAGTCGCGAGGCGGTGTGGTCTAGCAAACCTTGAAGTTTAACTTCATATCCGGTTTCACTCACTGTTATATAATTTTCATCGTGATAACATTCCTTCTTTGCCTTTTGTATAAGTGAGTAACAAGGGTAAATTAATAAATGTTAGCCCCTTGTATCAGTTCCCATTGACATCGTGTGAAATCACCTTCAACAAATAATTGAAGCGCTTACATAGGCGTGTATTTCCTGACAGGTACTTCTTTTCTGGCAGTCTCAATAACTATTTTTTTAATTTCTTGGACCGAGTAGGCGACGCAGTCAAATCTTTTATGATCTTTGACGTATCTGTATTCCCAGAAGTAACTTCCTTCATTCTTCAACAGGTACCTTGTCTCGTAATTCTTGTTTTTATTTATTTATTTGCTTATTTATTTATTACAGCTTTTACTCCTAGATTTACTTGGGAGCACTCCATAATCCCGACTTTGAAGATCCCGACTAGACATAATCCAGACAATTTTTAAAAATCCAGACAATACAAAATCCAGACAGGAAAATACAGATAACACATTACTCCGACAAGACAAAATCCCGACAACTCAAAATCCCGACAAGGCACAATCAAGCCAAAAAAAAATACAAAGCGTCCGGAAATGAAATTGATGACTTATGCTTAAATATAAACGGTTACCACTCCACATTTTTTCGCTTCTTCACTGCAAGGAGCCTAACCCTCTCGGCAACCATTTTACCACAAGGACGAAAGCTGCGTATTCTCGTCGATGGCAAACTAATTCCAACGGTGAATAACCGGAAAATTGTCAGATCTAGCTCTCGTTCCAGGCGCATACAACCGAAATTGCCAACAAAGTACAGAGCCGTAGTCCTCAATTCGGCACTACTTGGCCAAAGACAAAGAAACGGTGTTGCAAACATACAAAGCCGTCCGGTTCTAAATGATGCAGTGCCTGTGTGCTCGCCGGGGACAATTGGTTCGCTGTGGACGAAACTAAAGACATGCCACAATACAACACCCTGGACCACCAGAGGATGTCTTCTGATGTCGCCAGAACATCACATCTACAGTGAAGCCGAAATGCTCCCAGTAAGGTGCTACAGTTATCAGCACTCGAACTTGCGTGAGCTGAAGGACCAGGTCCAGCACTACGCACAGCACCCAGTGTTGCCAACTTTTGAATTTCAAAAAGCACCAAACCTTGGAAAAAAGGGCGTTTTATCGTACTAAAAGCACTAAATTTTTTCTTTATCAAAGGATACTCTTTTTTCATAACAGTTTGTGGTAAACAAAAGGAAAAAAATAAACACTATTTACATGTATAAATAAATACCAGAGAGCTGCATGGATACACCCAAATTACATTTTAAGTCACTCGCTTT